TCCACGTTGGAATTGGTCTTCTGGTCCAGTAGATGGCGCAGGTCTGCTACAATAATTTGAGAAAGTCTATGGTTGTTTCCGGTTTAATGCCAGAAAAGAAATGCAAGCAGTTCCCATCATAGGTTTCGTTTTCGCCGCCATTCTTTGTGCACGCTGGAGCGTTGTTTACAGTAAAAGTTCAAATAGTCTCAAAAGGTCCGATAGTCTATCATTTTTTCTCTAGTTAACACCATTTTCAATCAAGATATGTGCTTCCCCCAAGCTGTCCTTTCAGCCCCTTGCTTCACTCAGTCTTTTCGGCCTTGGGCTTTCCCCTCCCCCTTCCACTTATTTTGGGGCTTCGGTACGGCTGGGTTGCTGACGCATGTTTGCTGGGTCGCGCATTCATTCACATCTTTACTTGCGTTTAGGTAGAGAGAGGTTCTTACTTCAGATCACTTGTTTGCTCTGGCCGGTGTGTGCCTCTAAACACCATTGCTGGCTCCGTGCCGCGGGGACCTAATGGGACAAAGAAGTGCCTCGATCCTTTGGCTCTTGCCTTGGGAGAGGCACCTCTCGCGCCCCAGGCTATGACCCCTCTACAAGGGGTCAGGGGCCCCAAGACCAGCTCAGGACCCCTCCCCATCGGCACGTTTACGGGTCGCTCACATCAACGCTGTTCTGATGGAGCGTGCCCGCTTGCAAGTCGCCAAAACCAGAAGTCACCCTGAAGGGAAGATTGTTGCTGAGATACTTTAAGCTCCTGCTTTATTTACCTTGCACCCAACAGCATCAATTGAGTGGATTGTGGGTAGACAACTCCATGGTTTCCTAAATGAACTATTTTGATCCTTTGCATTCTGGTTTCAGGCCTGGATATGGGACTGAAAACAGCCTGGCTGATCTATACTGGGGGGGATGGGGGGAGTGTGACCCTACTGATTCCCCTGGACTCTCAGTGGCTTTCAATATGCTCAACCATGATAGTCGTCTTAGTCACACGTCAGGGTTGGGACTGCAATGTACCATTTTGCACTGGTTTCTGACCTCCCTGGAAGATATGTTTCAGGTGATGCTGGGAGACTGCTAGTCAGCTCCTGAGCCTCTGACCTATGGAATTCCATCTTCTTTCCCATGCTCTAACAATTTGGGTTGGGCTCTCACCAATATGCAAATTACACTTAGCTCACAGTTCCAGTTGAACCCAGGGAGGCTGTAGAAACGCTGAACCAGTGCCTGGAAGCAGTTTTAGGTTGGATGAGAACAAACTGAAGCTTAACCCTGACAAGACAGAGCTACTAACATGCAGGACTGACCTGTGAACCGCAGCATCTCCTGTCCTGGAGGGGGTTGTGCACCTCCTGAAGGAAGTCAATAGCTTGGGGGTATTGCTGGACCCAGTAGGTGGTGGCTGTGACCATAAGTGCATTTTACCAGCTTCATCTGGTTAGACAGCTGCACCTTTTCCTCAGCAGAAAAGATCTGTCCATTGTGGTAAACGTCTCAAGTAATATCTAGATTAGATTACTGCAATGTTCTCTGCGTGGGGCCACCCTTTAAAATTGTTCTGAAATTTCATTCAGTACAGAATCTGGAGTGGGTCATAGGGACATCATTCTGGGAATGATCCATCATGACTGGATTCGTTTTGTTCTGTGTCCACTTCAAAGTGATAGCATTGACCTCTTAAGCCCTATGCAGTCAGGGGACAGCATACCTTAAGGACTGCCTATTCCCGAATCTACCTGATTGGTACATTCATCTTCTGAGGCCCTTCTTCTGGTGCCTCTGCCTTCTGAGGGCTTCCTCAGTCATAGTGCCAAGATTGTAGAATTCCTTCCCTAGGGATATTCATCTCTCCACTTCTATTGCTGTCTTCCACCATCAGGGGAAGACTTCTTTGTTTTGCCTGTGTTTCTTCAATAATTGGTGTTTCAGTTATATTAAAATCAATAAAGATGATTTAAAAAAAATAATTGGTGTTTCTGTTTTTAGTTGTTAGCTGCCTTGGTGGTCCTGATTAGGCTGAAAAGTACGATATAAAAATACACACCAAATCATCCTTTTCTGTTACCTATCAAGCAGCCTGCAATGGAATGGCCCCATTTGGTCTGGCAGTCTCACGAAGAATGACATCAGGAACCGGCAAGAGAATAATGGTGCTGACATGAGGTACAGGAAAATGCAACTCTCTCAATGACCCCCCCCTTGGGCCTTCAGAAATATGCAGCCTGACAGAGCCAAGGATACTTCCCATTTAAATTTTATAATTCTGAATAGATTCCTTGACTCTCATCATCTTTGTTTTTCTGGATAAAAAAAAGTCTGTACATCAGCTTACAATTGCTTCTTTCATGAGATTAGGACTTCAAGCAGGTATCTTTTCAAACCAGGAAAGGCTAAAATTTTGTGTGTGAAGTGCCATCAAGTCTCAACCAACGTGTGGTGATCCCACAGGACTTTCAAGGCAAGTGATTAAGCAGAGGTGGTTTGCCCATTGCCTGCCTCTGCAGTCTTCCTTGATGGTCTCCCAATCCAAGTACCTACCCTGCTTAGCTTCCAAGATCTGACAAGATCGGGCTGTACTATAACATTCCATATCCACAATGGCTAAAATATTAGCCTTTACTAAATTGCCTTTTAGGACTTTGTATGGCTAATTCAAAAGCTTCCTATATCCATGTTTTCATTCCCCACACTTTGTTTTCTGTTAATCTATTCCAGAAAACACAATTTACTGTGTCGGATCAGTTAATTCTACCAGCTACACATTGCTTGTTTACACAGCTGGTGGCTTTTGTCTTTTCATTCATATCTTTTTTTTGCTGCCCTTAGATAAGCTTCATCTAGTTGCACTTTTTGCAGTCACCTGGTTTGGTGGAGATAACAGAGGTTCATTAAAAAAAAAATCTTTCTCCTGTAACACTACAACTCATGGCCATCTGCTGAAACTGACTGATTGACAGTGGACTCAGGAAAGATGAAGAAAATATTTCACACAGTTTGCTTATGGAATCTGCTGCAACAAGATACAGTGATGTCCACTGGTTTACCTGACTTGAAAAGGAGTCTAGATACGCTGCTGGGTAATAGGCCTATCAATGATTATAAGTTATGATAGCCAAGTGAAAACTCCAGATTCAGAGGCAGTATATGATTGAATGCCAGTTGAATGGAGACAATGGGGGGGGGGCAGTGCCTTCATGCCTAGGTTATGCACCTCCAGGAAGCACAGGGTAGCTTCTATTGAAAAAGGGATGCTGGATATCCTACCTTACTTACCAGGGCCTCTTATTATATGTTTGGTGTAGTGGTTAAGTGTGTGGACTCTAATCTGGGAGAACCGGGTTTGATTCCCCACTCTTCCACTTGCAGATGCTGGATGACCTTGGGCAAGCCATAGTTCTATCAGAGCTGTTCTCTCAAGGACAGTTCTGGAAATAGCTCTCTCAGCCCCACCTACCTCACAGGGTATCTTCTTGTGGGGAGGGGGAGGGGAAGGGGAAGGAGTTTGTAAGGCGCTCTGAGACTCTGAGTGAGGGGCGAGGTATAAATCCAATCTCTTCTTCTTCTTCCTCTTCTTAAAATAAAACACCTTTATGTTTAAATTTATTTTATGCCTACATGAAATGAAAATGGGGTCCCTGGCAGTGGCTCTGTATCTCTTGGGAACACCTGAATATGATACTTTCTACTAGGGCACAGTAAGTCTAGTTAAGTAAATAAGATGCTAGAGGTGGGGAAACAGAGATGGCCTAGAATCTATCCAGTAAACTACTAAGGCTACGCTGGACTTCCACCAGCACACCGGGTGACGGTTCTGATGGCGGTACTCTCCAGGTTTAGATGCTCAGAGGCCCCATTACATATGTCTTGTCCACTGTATAAAATTATGGAGAAAGCCCTGTCTGAACACAAGGCAGTTAAGAAGATGCATAAACAACTGAAGACAACTGCAAAAAAAATATATGACTGGTTTACAGGAAAAAGGAACTACATTAAATTCCACAGAAGAAAACAAGGTTAAAATGAAGTTTATTAGGTTTTTTTGTGATTTTTTTGTTTTAGTTTTTTTTTATATAAAACTGTTTGTGAAACAGCTATTTTATTCCCATGGCAGAGTGACCCCTGAAAGATGCACTAACCCCTTCTTAAGGCCTTAACAAGAGAAACAGTTCTTTTTAAACTCAAATGTTTAAAAATTACACAATGTACAAACAAACAAAAAGTAACCATGTGGTGTATGCTGCTAAATTGACATTCTCCCTCCCTTCCTTTGGGAAACAAAAGACAGAGAAAAGAAGGGTTAATTAGATTTTCCTGGTCAGCTTAACACACACTGATTATGTCGACATTCAGACTTCCTGGTGAACGCCCCCTTCTGGTAGGCAAGCCAACATCCTCCTCTCAACTGCTCCGGGAAAAGGCAGCAGCTCCTTGGAATGATTTGGGAGTATTTGTCAATGCCAAGAATGGCTCAAATCCCCCACCTTTTGGTACAGACAGAATCATGTCTATAAGGTCAAAGTATCCGTATATGAAGCTAACAGAAGTCACATGACATCGGAGTCTTCTGATGCTTCTAGGCTTCCTTTCTTAATAAAAATAAATAGTGTTTTTTAAAAGAAAAAAAATAAATCCCCTCTTCATACATACACAAATACAAACATCCCATTCCCCTGCAACCACTCACTCCCACCTCCCACCCTGCAAACAATATTGCCCTCCCCCCCAAAAATATTTTTTTTTAAAACCTGGCTTTTCTGTTGCTGAAGTTGGAGTGAAGAGACAAATTTGATTAAGCAAGCTCATAACTCCATACCTCCTCTTCAAACAAAATAAGACCCACTTCCAAAGACTTTGTTTCGATTTTACTTGTATTTGTCACGAGCAACTTGGAAGTAGGTGGGTCTTAAAAATTGAATTAAATGCATAAAAAGGGATAGCGCACCTTTCATTTAAAACAAGTCTATCAAGACTAAAAATAGATCTTTATATATATAATCTATATATATATTTTATCCCACCCTCGTTAATTCCCCACTTCTTTTTCTTTTCCCTCCCCTTCCCATAGTCACTATGGAGATTGTGTCCATGAAAACAGCTGGTTCAGACTCCTTGATCATATTCAGTGATGTTGTTGGTCAAGTGTGATGAAAGAGTTGATGAAGGAAGTGCTGGCATTGGCAGGCACGTCAAGAGGGGGGCATGACTGCACAGTGGGAAAGAATCCATTCAGTCTTGAATGTCTGCCGCTTTCTTATCTCAACAGCCTAACCTGTAGAAAAATAAAAGCAGTGATATAAGGAAAGATACATGTATGTGCTCAACTTTCCCATTAATTGTTCAAGCAAAATTAACACCAAGGCCCAAAGGAAATATGTGCAAGAGAGCCTAAATCTGGTGCAGCAGTTTATGGAAATTAACTAATAATGCTTTAAAAATATGTATGAGAGTCATGAAAACAATGGCATATTTCAGTGATATGTAAACAACATAGAAAACCATACACCATTCCCATGCACCTAAAGTTCCATCTCAGAATCCGCTACATTTGCTGCTAGCATCTAGGGCTGTGGGAGAAGTCAGTGCAAGGCTTATTTAAGCAGCTCTTGTCAGGATGGGGTGGTGAATTCTCACATGGTCACTTGGTCAGTAGGGCCCCTCTCCATGATGCATATATTCTTGGGAAATAATCTGACACTAACAATTCAAACACAAACACAACTCATAATTGTTTTATACCCTAACTTTTAGGACACTCAAGGTGGATATTGGCTGCACCCAGTTCTATAAACCCAGTAAGTGAAAAGCACAATGATACAGTACCAGCGTAAACCCATATTAACCTACACTTCTTTGCTTGAAATTGTCAGAGGTAAACAACAACCACAAGTATACAGCAAGAAAGGCTCAAGTTGGATGCCTAAAAATTGTCTGGGGTAGAGTTGAAGACAATACCTCTTGACATCACCAGATTTTAAGGGTACCACCCATAGTGACAGGAAGCCAGTGTGGCACAATGCACAGAGGCTTACATAATGTCTTCCAGCCTCCCACATCCCTCCCCCATATTCACGATATGTCAGTGAATATAGCCTTCCTTTCAGTGGAGCCTGGAGCACAAATAAAAGCAAACAGCACTATTTTGTTGAACATTAATAACAAAGAAAGAGAGATCTCTTAATACATATCCCATTATTGGTTGTCACAGATTTAGAACTTCCAGAGGGAGAACTCTCCCATACCTGTCTCTCAAACCACCTTACTCTGACTTCAAAAGGTTCATACAACCAAACAGGAAAGGGGAAAGCAGACTTGAGGTCCCCAGAAATACTTAGAAGTTCTTGCAAATGAATAGCATTAAAAATCAACTGTAAAACGTCTGGACCCACTACACATCACAGACCGCTTGACCTTATCTGGAAACAATCCATCACCAGCTAAATCATGCAACAGACATACAACACTCCCACATGCTCTCCCTCTCCATTCATGATGGCAATCCAGAGTGTTAAGCTTGCTCAGTTCATCTTCATGCCTAAAAATGATGAGAAGTGCTGTGGAGCCAGCTCAGACATAGAGGAACCCACAGCAGGACATTCCCTTGTGTTGCTTGAAGCACAGCACTAGAACAAAGCCCTCCTCGATCTTTAAAGCTGTGCCTTAGAGAGCACATGTGCAACACAAACCAAACAGGCCACTGGATACTTACCATGAAGGGTCCTTCTCAGAGAAAAGGAGTACATCTTGGTGGGTTATTACCACCATCCACTCACGGAGGCACGAACAACTTTTTTCTCCTTCCTGTCTGCTGTGGAAGTCATCCACCTTTCAGTTCTGGGAACTCCAAAAGCAGTCAATCTATTCTAAACTCTATATAACCAGATAGAACATTAATGCGGAACATCCGTGGAAAAAATGAGTAATTAAGAACCGCTAAGGCAGGTAAGGATTCTGCAGATTGATTGGATGGCTGATTTGGTTGACAATGACTAGGGAGGGATAAGATGCCTTCCTTTCCTCAGAGGAGAAGGACCCTTCATGGTAAATATCCAATGGTCCATTCTACCTCTGAGGCAGAGGACATCTTGGTGGGACCTCCCATAACAGTGTCCTCATTTTCTGGGTGGTTCATCATCTTCTGTATTTTTTATTTTATTTTTTGCATTTTTACCCCGCCCTCCCCGTGAACGGGCTCAGTATCTAATATATGCTGAAGCACTCTTCTGCCAAAAGCAGTGTCAGCTGAATTGTACGAGTTAATCTTGTAATGGTGTATAAAGGTCGAGATGGATGACCGTGTCACCGCCTTGCATACTTCTTCCATTGTAGCCTGATAAGCAAAGGCTGCATCAGCTGCTGCACTTCTCACTGACTGAGTGGTTATTCCATTTGGCACGTCCAGCTTGTTTAGCTTGTAAGCTTCTGTGATACATGTCTTGATACACCTGCTGATGGCTGATTTTGACATTTTATTCCTCACGTTTAGTGGGTGGATGGAAATGAACAATGCATCTATTTTTCTGATGTGTTCTGTCCTACGTATGAGAGTCATTAGTGCCCTTCTGACATCCAATGTGTACCATGTCCTTTCCCTTGAGTGACTGGGGTCCAGGCAGAAGGATGGAAGATTAATTTCTTGGGATGTGTGAAACATGTTTACCTTTGGCCAGAAGGTTGGGTCTGTTCTCAATGTTATTTTGTCTTTGGGAAAGGTACAGAGCTTGGGTTTGATGGAAAGGGCTCCTAGCTCTGACACCCATTTTGCAGATGTGATGGCTACCAGGAATAGAATTTTCATTCTCAGCCACTTCAATCTACTCTAACTGGTTCAAATGGTGGTTTGGTGAGGGCTGATAGTAGTGTATGTAATTTTCAGGTTGTGAATCTGTGCATCTGTGGGGGATCTTTTAGAGATGCTCAACTGATGCAACGACAGATGTGAGAGTGGCTTGATATAATGATGCCCTCAACTTGAGGCAATACAGTGGATAATGCTGCAACTTGTCTTCTAAGTATAGCAGCCCTCAAGCCTCTGTCAATGCCTTCCTGTAAGAAATCGACTTGAGTTGTAGATCTACAGAATCAATTTCCTTCTTCCTACACAATCGAACGAAGGCCTTCCAAGTAGTATTATATAGTCTAGATGCAAGTATCGGCAACTTCTGCGCTGTAACCTAATTAGACGAATTTATTCCTCCTGGTGGTCAAATTTGGAGGAATTTATTCTCCAGGTGGTCAAATTTAACCACTTTGGTTTTGGATGCCAGAGTGGTCCTTGTTGTAGCATGTTTATTGACACTGGGAGTCTTAGAGGTGGATCTGTCAACAGCCGAAGTATTGCTGAAAACTATGGATGGTGAGGCCACAAGTGGGTCAGCTAGGATGACCTCTGCCTGCTGTTCTATGATCTTACGGATTAGTTTTGGTAGTATTGGGACTGGTGGGAAGGCATACATTAGGCCCCTCGGCCATCTTGACATTATGGCAACTGTTCCTTTGGCCTGAAGTGATGGAACCTGGTGAAGAATCAATCCGTCTGGTGGTGTGTTGAAGATGCAAAGAGGTCCACTAGTGGGATGCCGAAGTGCCAACGTGGATCAATATTCGATCGAACAGATCCTTCTTGAGGGACCACTCACCCTCTTGGATTGTTTATTGACTGAGCTAGTCCACTTGGACATGTGCAGTTCCCTTGACAGGTTCTTCTCTGAACATGTTAGGACCCTGGTCACTTCCCTGAGCCAATTTTGTGTAGTGGTTAAGTGCGCAAACTCTAATCTGGGAGAACTGGGTTTTATTGCCCACTCCTCCGCTTGCAGCTGCTGGATGACTTTGGGTAAGTCATAGTTCTGTCAGAGGTGTTCTTGAAAAAGAGCAGTTTCTGTCAGAGCTCTCTCAGCTCCACCTACCTCACAGGGTGTCTGTTGTGGGGAGGGGAAGGGAAAGTGAAGGGTGGGGTATAAATCCAATCTCCTCTTCTCTTCTTCTTCTTGTGAAGCTCTAAGGACCTGGAGCCCTCATGTGTTGATGTACGTTTTTACTGCTATGTTGTCTGTCCATGGCAACACATGAGATCAAACTATTTTGTAATCAAAATGGAGAAGAGCTATACGGATGGCTCGAAGGTCTAGCAGGTTAACTGGTAGCATAGTTTCCTCCTTGCTCCATCGACCCTGTACTGGTATTCTGTCCAGTGTTGCTTCCCCATCTGGAAAGGCTGGCATCTGTACATATTTGCTTTACTACTGGAATCCAATATATATTGCCCTGAAAAAGGTTGGATGTTCTTGTCCACCATGTGAGGCTGGATCTTACCCTTAGTGGAATGCATATTGATAAGTCTTATTTCCTTAAGATCTGAGCTTGGAAGGGTAATCTCCATTCTGAAATGCCTCAGTCTCACAAATCCGTTGAGGTATTTCAGATCAAGTATTGCTCTCCAGTCCCCGATTTTCTTTGGGACCATAAAGAAAACAGACTACACTCCATGTCCCTTTTCCGAGGAAGGAACAGGCTCTATGGTTTGGATCTTGAGCAGATGTTTGATTGCCTTCACAGTTCTCAGCCATTTCTGTGAATTTCTGTGGACAGATAAAGTGATGAATCACTCCAAAGGGTGTCTGTTGAATTCTATGGTACAACCATTGGTAACGATTTCCACTGTCCAACTTCCAGTGTGGGAATTGATCCAGATGCCCTGAAGTGAGAGAGACATCCTCCCACCAAAGTGGACAGCCAGTCACACCTTAAGGGGGCTTTCCTTCTTGATCAGTCCTGTCCAATCTATTGTTTGTTTGCTTGTTAAATCTGGCATTGAAGTTTCCCCCTCTGATGGGTTGTCTTGACTGATTCCAGCTGGATTTCCTCAGAACAGGAGAGGAATGATTCTAGTGATGAGACTCATTCTACCAGCTTTAATCAGTGGAATTCCAATAAACCTCAATACTTAATACTTGTAGTCAAAAAAGTTTTTTAGGTCGAGGGATCAAGAAACAGGAGAAACGGGAACCAAGAATGTTTCACAGGAAGAAAATGCAGAAAACCAACAGGTAGTTAATCTATCTACCAGACAGTTTACAGAATATGAAATCTCTGTTTTGAAAAAAGGACTTTCATTTGTCTCCACCCCTCAACATAATGATTTCAAACTTATGGTTGAGATGCAACACCTCTTTCGTAAGATAAGACTAGCCGATTTTTTTAGGAACAGTGCTGATCAACCTATTGGGCAGGTGGTTAAGTTTAAACCAAAATCGACTTTTAATCCACCCTCCCAAAACCCTAGAATTCTAACTTTTAAGGAGCTAGTCTTGGAGGACATTAATAAAATGTATGACACTAACTGTAAAATCTGGCATAACTTGAGTAGAGCGGAGAAAATTTCTCTAAACAACTTGAAAAAGATAGAGGATGTGGTTTTTAAGCCAGCTGATAAGGGGGGTGCTTTGGTTATATGGGATAAAACAGACTATTATTGTGGAGGCCAATAGACAACTGAATAATACTCTACATTATAGTGTACGTAAGGATCCTATTCAGACGATAAGAAAAGAAATTGTTGTGGCATTAGATGCCTTACCAGCAGGCTACATATCTAGTTCAACCTATGATTTCCTACTCCAATCTGAAAATAGAACCCCCCAATTCTACCTTTTACCTAAGATCCATAAAGGTGTACTGCCTGTTCCTGGCAGACCCATAGTCTCGGGATGTGGGTCTATTTTGGAACCATTGGCTACTTATTTGGATGATTTTTTAAAACCCTTCATCCTAAAAACTAATACATACTTGAGAGAGACTATGGATTTTTTGGTGTCATATTAATAAAATCAGAATTGAACATGAGGATATGCTTTTTGTGACTCTGGATGTGGTATCACTATATACCAATATACCACAGGATGAGGCTTTGGAGGTTCTTCAAAATACACTGGATTTGAGGGAAGGTGATCCCTATCCTCCTACTTTCTTTTTATGTCATATGGCTGAGATTTGTTTGGAAAGGAATTATTTTCAATTTCAGAACAGATTTTTCTGGCAGATATCAGGGACTGCAATGGGGTGCAAATTTGCACCTGAGTTGGCAAACCTTTTTATGAATAGGTTTGAAAATAAATTCATTCTTAATGCAAATAACATCTATGCTGAGAACATTATTTTGTTTAAACGATTTCTGGATGACATTTTTTTTACTGTTGAAGGGTTCTGTGTCACTCCTGTTGGAGTTAAAGGAGTACATTAATGAGCTACATGATAGTATTAAGTTTGAAATGAAGTATGATTGCAAGGAGATCAATTTCTTGGATGTCAGTGTTAAAAGGGTGGGAAATATAATACAGACTAGCACATATAGAAAATCTACGGATGCAAATTCCTTTCTGTCTAGTGACAGCTTCCACCCACCACACCTGAAAAAGAACCTACCTTATTCCCAGCTGTTGAGGCTTAGGAGAAACTGTAGCCAGTACTCTGATTTTGTTGAACAATCTAAAACATTGATGGGACAGTTTAAGGATAGGGGCTACTCCTCTAGAGTTGTAAAGCAGGCTTTTCATAAGGCTAAAAACACCAATAGGTCCTCACTCCTGATACCTAAGATAAAACAAGGTCAGTCTGACAAAAGGATGATTATCCCATTGACTTATGATGGCAGGTCTGCTCAGGTTAGTAATACACTGGCATTTGTTAACTAGCATTACTTCGTGTGAGTCTTCTCCTATATTTGCTTACAGAAGGTCAAAAAATTTAAAAGACACGTTAGTAAGAAGCAGTCTAAAATCTTCATTAGTGGTTCAAAGGGGAGTTGATGGTAGGAGTTTACCAGCTGGCAACTTTCCCTGTGGGAGTTGTGAGGTCTGTGGTTTAATGTTACGTACTAACATGCGCTATGATTCAGAAAAAAGAAAAGGTATTCTATTTGATCATTCTTTAATTGCAATTCAAAGGGCCTTATCTACTGTATAATTTGTTGTTGTCAAAAGAAGTACATTGGTTGTACGTCAAGACCATTAAAAACCAGGATCACAGAACATCGGAGTTGTATTCGACGCAGAAGGAAAGGAGCACCCCTGACTGATCATTTTGCTTTAACAGGACATTCTGATAAGGACTTCTCTTTTTTTGCCCTGGAGTATGTTCGACCTTGTAACCATCTGCAGCATTTGAAAGCAAGGGAATTGTTTTGGATTTATGCCCTCAACACTGTAACACCATATGGTTTGAATGAACAAGTAGATTGGTGTGTAGTATAATTTGTTGTTAGTAGTATCTCTATGTATGATTTAACATCTAGTTAGGTATCTGTAATGTTTCTTTAAATGGCTTTCATTATGTCATGCTTTATGTGTATGGGTAATTACATGACTAGTTGCAGGCACCTGTAAGGAATACATCACCCTTTAAGGATTGTATAATCCTGAATCTACTATATAGGTCCAACACTTTTTTGAGCAACACTGCTTTTAATTTAAGGAATGTTTCATTGGGAACATTTGGCTATACAATCTCAGGAGAATATATAGTTGACCAGAGGTGACTATTTTTATTTTTATTTGTTTATTTTTATTTTCAGTAATTAGCTGTTTGATGCATCGATTCATACACTTTTATTGTTTCTAGAGAAGTACTACTGGACATGTGATTGCACTGGAAGTTTCATTTGTATTTTGCCCAGTGGTTAAACTTTGGAAGTAAGTTAATGGTTTTTTGTTTGATAATATATTTACAATATACTTATTAGTTGTAGTATATGTGTCTAATCTAATAGAAATTTCTTTTATGTTTACAGCAATTGTTTTCTGGTCTTTATTTCATATTTTGTATATGTTTGATTGTACATATTTTTGCATGTTAGCCAGTTATGTTCTATTTGCATTAGACCTCTGAGGAAGGCCTGTGAAGGCCGAAATGCGTTAGGTCTATTTCATTAGCCTTTGTATTTTTATATTTGTATATGAGGTATGAATGGGCCCTTATTTGTTATTTTAATTTGTGTTTAATAAATACATGTATATTTTTGTATGTTTTATAATTAGATTTTTAGAGTTGGCCCTTTTCTATTCTTGACTAAGCTTTTTAGGTTCTGAGAACTAATAAAAGGCAACAGTTTGTCCAGATGGATGGTCATTGAAAATACCTGCCTGAAGTGTCTTTTGACTACAAACTCACTGAATGTAGGCCAGCCTTGCAACTCAGCAGTAAACCTGGTTGCCTGTGGCAAGAAACAGTTTTCTCCAGTCAAACAGATACATCTTTGCTGCCACACTGTCAGAGCTATGCAAGAAGTCAGCCCTACATTGTGTTATACTATACCCATGTTTACAGACTCATACCTCCCACCATCATTCTAGCCAAAGACCAACTGCCAAATACAGCAGCACTAGGGAAGCTGAATATGTGGCTGTATCCCATAGTCAGAAAATGGAGCTGCGGTGGCTCAAGTGGTTAAGACGCTGAACTGCAGGCTTTGGAAGGTCAGTAGTTCAGCAGTTCGAGACCCGGGTGCCGCATGACGGAGTGAGCTCCCGTCTCTAGTTCCAGCTCCTGCCAACCTAGCAGTTCGAAAGCAAGAAATTGCAAGGAGATAAATAGGTACCACTTCGGTGGGAAGGTAACAGCGTTCCGTGCGCCTTGGTGTTTAGTCATGCCGGCCACATGACCACGGAAACGACTTCGGACAGCGCTGGCTCTTTGGCTTTGAAATGGAGATGAGCACCGCAACCCTAGAGTCGGATTCGATTGGCTTTCAAGCAAGGGAACCTTTACCTATCCCATAGTCTATCCTGGGCTTGAACAGGCACTTGGAACAAACCCAACACAGCAAGAAGAAAGGGAGGACCACTAGTGGGAGCAGGAGTAAAGTGACAGAGAAAAGAAAGAGAATATCATGGGTAAAATAAGCAGGGGCAAACATCACACACTCATACAAGAAGCTACCCTGAAAGCTGTGAACCCCCTTCAACCTTCCTCCCAATGTATGCCAAGAATTGACAAAGCAAATAAGGACAAACCCACCAACAGGCAAACAAGGCTGCCTCTTGAACTGTGTTTTGATCATCTTGCTCAGGGCAAAAGACAACTCTGTTTCGTACAAGCTTTGTGTTTCCACAGGACCTCTTTCTTGGGAACTGACAGCACATTATGACCTTACAAACATCTTATCTTCGTCTTTTCTTTTATTACACTTGCACCAGGAAATGAACACGAATGACTCGACCACTGCCTGGCCAACAACTGATCTCAGAAAGTATTAACAGTAACAAAGACTGCAAATAGCTAATCCAATAATGAAAAATTTAGAACTTCATCTTGGCAAAACCCTTTGTTATATGTGTAAAAATAGAGGAAACATGCCAAACGTGCTTGTACAGAAAATTTAGCTCTTTGCTTGTAAATAGGAAATATCAGTATAACAACACCTGGGCGGTAAGATCAACATTTACTTCTCCCTCAGATTGGGGGAAAGTTGGGAGGGCAAACTGAAAACCACTCCCCCAACTCACCTGTGCTTGTTTTTATTTTCATTCCCACGAATACACTTCCCCCCTCACCCCCGCTCCGACTGCTCTGTGCTGAGGCTGCCTTTCATCATCTTGTTCTGCAAGGAGGGGAGGAAGCAAGGGAGGAGGGGCTGAGGATGCCGTATGCCAAGTGGAGGTGATTGGGGGGGGGGAGAGGAAGACAGAAGGGAGAGGCAGAAGAAAGGGGGAATATATGGAGACAGAAAGAGAGAAAGCAGCATCAGTAACTAGAACACCAAAGAGAGTTTTACAGGCAGGATTTCCCCAGGACAGCAGTTAGGACTTTTGTGAAGCAAGAGGACTACTGAGTAGCATACGAAGTTTAGTCAGAAAATGGAGCTACACAAAACATGCAAGGTGAGCACCGCAGACACTGACATAATTGGCTTCTGCTTTTTTATATTTTTCCCTTGAGTTTTCTGCAAGGACATTTTTACTATCCTCTGATGTCAGTTGTTTTCACTGTATATATCAGAAATGTCAAACCTGGTTTGATAATCCTAGATTTTATTTTGGTAGACATCCTAACAATACAGATGGAAGGCATCACCGTGTGACATAAATTAAAACCCCAAATATTTTAAAGTAACTTGTCTGATTGCATCCTCCCTTCCAACTTTTAATGATATCTCAATTGAAGAAAAAGAAGCTTCTTCACTGTCCTACACCTCTTTCAGAGCAAGACAGCTGCTTTTGGTTTCCTTTGGAAGAAAAGCTGGCTTATAAATAGGTTAATACATTCCATAGTAAGTTGCAAATGCAGAAAAAGACAAAAAATGTTACTGGGTGCAAAAAAATATCCCAAGAAACTTTGCAAAGGCTGGCTTAAACCTCTATGCCAGAGAATGGTCTTTTAAGATCACAAAGGCTGAGCAGAAACTGAATAAATTATACAAAACAAGAAAATATATGTACATTTTCCAAACATGCATAATTAGTTTACAAGGGGCAGAAGTTAGTTGTCATGGCACAGATTTTCTTTTGCACAGCCCATACACAATCTTCTCAGTACAAAGTATACAAGGTGAATATGAATTCACAGGAAATTCCTTGCAATTACATGTAAGAACATAAGGAGCAGATGAGAGATATAAGTGATTCACCAGGGAACAGTCCCATGCAGCAAATGGAACCGTTGCATTCTCTCCTTGGTGAAGGAGTATTTTGCACCATAAAAATGAACAAACTGGTACAAGGAAGAAGAGCTGCTGAAGCCACTTGCTCATTTCTCACATAAAAAGAGCAAAAAACACCCCGTTCCTCAGCTTTCTTTAGTTTATCTCTAGGTTTTATGGCACCATAAGTATCTTCTAAATTCCCACTATGTTGCCTTTTCTGTCAACACATTTTCAGAGGGCCTGGAGTGAAACGGATTAGCTTCTAACCATATGACTGTGGTTCCCCTGTCACCACTTGGATGTTATCAGACCAAATACTGACACATTTAATAAATCCAACTGAGCTACAGAGTGCAGAAATTTTAACATATCTAACCTCCACCTGTCATTTCCAAAGATATCTAAGATATTTGCAATCTTTAACAAGAGAAAGATGTTGGACATAATTACTCAGGTAGTTTCACACCAGTGTATGGGGGGAGGAAGGAGGTCTATTTGGTTAGTTATAAAGAGTGTTCTTTGAGGGGCCACTTGTGCAGAACTGGGGCAAGGGAACAGGTGCTACTGACCCCTCCCTCCTTGAGAGAAAACTTTTTACTATCTGAAATGCCTCAAAGCAAGCACCTCACCACTCAATTACTTCACCACTAATCAGAAAAGTAAGTTACCAGCAAAAGGAACAAAGGGTGGGTTAACTGACTACGTATGACCACTTCAAAAACATCAGTTACAAATAAGCAACCTTTTTTCTTCTTTGTGGAAGAAAACACATAGGAAACTGGTTAGGTGTTGTACCTGGGAGAGACGGGGGATGTCTTCAGGAAAATAAGCTGTGAATAACTGCACTGCAGAAGGTTGTCCCTTCCCTTACTCATGCAATCAACACATAATGTTTCACAAACATGGCAGAAATAGCAAGTCAATTAGGGAAACAAAGACGTGACTGTAGCTCTAGTTGAATGGTGTCTCAACAGCAGCTGAGAATGCATCATAGGCTCTGGCAGACCTTCAAGTAGGCCGCTTCCTGGGACTCAGGAGAACCTCAGGGTACCATAGCTACCCCTAAAAAACTGGATCTGACTTGCCATCAGATTCAGCATATGAATACTGTGGTGAAGGATACTGCCTCAGTCCTGGGATAAGCAGACTCTTTTCTCTGGCGGATGTGAGAAACTGTGGTTGCCAGCGAAATGAGTCTGGTGGACCCCACAGCTTGAAGGCACAATCCTGACAGCAAGAGTTCCGAGGTACTGTTGGATTAGACTGTGCTCCAAGCCAGAGCTGAGCTGGAAGACCATGGAACAGTCTAACCAGGAAGTAGTGACTTATCAGTTATTATGAGGATGCAAAATGATGTACTGGATTCAGTATACTTCGGTTCTCAGGAAGGAACAGCAATAATTGATGGAAAGAATAATTATGGTCCACCTCTAAGAATGCTTCCGAATCTAACCCTTAGGAATGGCTTAGGGGAAGGAGAGGAAAAGAGAACACAGACTGTTCTCTCAACATAGATTGGTCAGAAATGCTGGCCACCAGTGCCTTTTCCCTTAAGAAAACTCTTAAGGAGCGATTGTGAAGCTCCTGCTTGGTAAATTTCAAACAATGCAGGCAAAAATCAACCTTACCACAAAGGTAAATCAAAATACTGCCAACCTGTGGTAAGGATTGTCCTTCTGGAGATAAGGTACTTACAAAAGATGCCAAAGAAAGACAATAAAAGATGGGGTGGGGGGACAAAAAGTATGTTCTTGATCAAAAGAGAATAGCATGAAGGTGCTCAACCTGTTCCTGAAACATAAAAGTGACTATCAAAATCTCTGGGAGCTAGAACTTTTCCAGAACTAATTCCACATAGTACACAGACACTTTACATCTGGGTCTGTATTGGGGTGTGCATTCAGTATAAACTGAGCCAAAAAAATAATTGAATTTTGGGTACTATTTAAGCTGAATACATATCAGAGAATCTGATCAGCTACTGATCAGCTGAATTTTTCCGGCTTTTATTCGGGTATATTCTGCTACACCAAATAGCTGGTGTGTTCCTCTTGCAGCTTGGTTTAAACCAAGCCGCAAGAGGAGCCAGTCCAGAATCAGCAGGGCTGCTGGGATCTGAGAACTCTGCGCCACCTCTGCTGGGGCTGGCTCCTCTTGCAGCTCGGTTTAAACCAAGCTGCAAAAGAAGTCAACCAAGGGTTGACTGGGCTGGTGGGAACTGAGAACTCCCCTTTGCCTCGGCTTGTTGTTGGCTTCTCTTGAAGCACGACGTCAGCCCAGGATCAGCTGTGCCCACGGGCTTAGTCCAACAGTGAGCAAAGGGATAACAGTGAAAAGGATACTTCTGAGCATACGCAGGGTGTCTTTCCTTCTCCTTGTCAATAACTTGTCTACCTACAGTGAAGGCGTAGGGTTTTCAAGCAGTCCTGAGCCCCATCACCTCTCACAGGGCATTATTATCCGCAGCTTTCTTCCATCCTTCTTTTGTCACTCATTCCCCCCCCCCCCCCCCCGGTTTTTTCTTCTTGGGTCTATTAGATGCAGAAAAATTAGTGATTTCCAGAAAATCCCAGATCTGAATACCGCACCCAATATACCCAAACCAAAAAAAAAATGGGGGAGAGGGGGATTGCACACTGCTCAGATATCATACCAGGTTCTCCTGAATTCTGAGAACTTTGTTCAAGAACACCTACAGTCTTATTATAACATTATCAATTCAGTTCATTTACTGGAAAATAAAAAGTAGGTTGGTTCAACAAGGATCAACACAAACCACTGTAACATGAATAATTCTAAAGGTACAATATACATTTATGTTCAGTCATCTGAGGCTTGGCTGTTTTTGAAGTCACAGTGATTTGACCTATGTGCTTTAAAGTCTGCACTGATAGCATTACTACAGCTGAAGACAAAAGCTCAGAACAAAAGCTATGAAAACTTCTACAGAAGCAGTAACACAGAAATTTTGAAATAAAATTAATTCCATAGAAAAAAGACAAAATACAGACTCTTACATTGCCTGACTTTTCCAAAGGCTCACATACCCTACCCCAACATACCAGCATCTCCTTTTAAAAATACACAAAATGATACATATTGCCTTAAAATGAACTGTGTTGAGTCTAGCAAAAGACAGTGGTAAATTGGTGACATCTTTCATTACCTTGTGCTTGGGGCACCTCACTGAGAAATTCTCTTCGTTTAGTAAACAATCTAGAGGAGGAAAAGAAAACAGAATGCAAAATTATTGGTAAAATACAATGAAATTCCACATTAGGCACACTAATTCAGCACAGAAGTCCACATATAGCTACAAGAGTTTTCTCTTCATAGAAACAGAAGAAGTTATAAAGGGGATGTGATTGTTCTATTTTGAGTGGTCAATATGCTCAGCTTCATCATCCAAATGGTTGTAAAACTAAGTCCTTAGAAAAAACAAAGCACACACAATTCTCCAGCACCTTATTTTAACTCTTTCCATATTAACTCATTCCACACACAGAAAATGAAACCTCGCTAGAGGATTTATACAGGATTCCTATTTTGTGTACACCGCACCATGTCTTCAAGATGCTTGCCCTCAGCACATAGGAAATTATCAGCTCCAAATCCAGTAATCACTTCTTTTAAATCACACGCCTGAACACAGTGTTGTTCTTGCTTTGCTAGCTATATGATGCACATAGCTTCACGTAGTATAATTAGCATAGGAGAAACAAGTGTCTGGTTGCTGTTAAGTATGTACCCAAAAACAAATCAAGACTCTCATGCATATGTTTACTGAATGTGTACTATAAAAACCCTTCTCCTTAAGGCTGTTGTCACTATACATGCTTTTCCAATTCATTCCACAAACAAAATTACCAAAAGTGAAATCTGCTTTAGAACAATTCTTCCTAGGCATCCTTCTTTAGGCCATACTTTTCAGCCCATGTTTTAGCCATTTGATTGTGCTGGGCTTGATGTTACTAGGTCAGTTCTCCTTAGTCTAATTTCAGATGTACCTTCAGAACACTGAGACTTCAGAAAACAATACATGGATCCCTTCCCCACAATTCTCTACAGCCTCCAAGCAATTCTTACAGTAGCAGATCAAAAAGTCCCAATTTGAAATCATATTAAATATGTGGTATAACTTCTTGTTTTTTGCATCCTGTTGGAAAATCTGTAAAACTCAGCATGAGACTATCACATAAAAAAACTCACACATAAGGCTGATTTTGACTCATTCCTCTGCTCCAATAAACCTCAGGGGCTGGCAGTTTTCCTTGCTGTTCTATTTTACTGATGCTGCTTATGATTTTGTTTTTATTGTGTTATATCTCATATTTTTATATTTTTAATAACTACATTGCCTCAGACACTACTAATGATAGGCAATCTATAAATCATTTTTCCAATATTGACAACACTGAGTTGGATAAAGAAGGAAGGAGCTACAACAATTAGTGCGATGTACAGTGTTATCCAGCACCCAGCAAACTCAGTTAACTTGCATACCTGGACTGCAGCCTGCTTTCAAGCAACAGCAAGCAGCAGAGGGGCAGGCTCCAGGTCCTAACCACAGGCCCCACCCCACTTGTGCAGCCACTAAAGCCCATGGCTCCCGTCTCCTCTGCTACCTCTTACGTGAGAGCAGGCAGAGAGGGAGCAGGGAGTGCTCCTTGGCCATGAGCACCCCCAGGATGCCTGCTCCTGCAAGAGCAGGTGGAGGAGAGGAGAGAGACAGGTCCAGAAGAGAGAGCGTTCCAGCTGGGGCTGAGAGAGACCAGCTGCTACAATGCCTGAGGCATTCAAAAACACTGGTCTGGTGGAATGGACTGTGACCTGTCCCACTGATGTATGGTTTGAGATTGTTAGAGCTGCTTATTGTTTTGTCATATCTATTTAGAGTGACATTTACTGTAGCTTCCTTGGGTCCTGCTTTGTGCAAAACAGGAGGGGGAGCATTTAAAAATAATTTAAAAAGAGGAGGGGCAGGGGGAGTGCTGCTCAGCCAACAGGCTGCACAGCAAGCAACACCCACAGCAAACTGCTGGCCAAGAAGCACTTCTTGCTCCTCCACCACCCACTCATGCGAAAGCAGGTGAAAATGGGGGCAGGGAGCACTTCTCCACATGGACACCGCCAGGATGCCCTGCCTGCTCTTCCACTGTCTGTTCTTGTGTAAGAGCAGGTAGAGGAGAAACCAGGGATGCTTTTTGCCCTTGGGTGCCCCCTGCTCAGCTGCTGCTGAGTGAGAGATGCCTGTGGCTAGAATCTGGTTAGGATGCCCGCTCTGCTCCTCCATCTCCTGCTCTTGTGCAAGTTGTGTGGCAGAGGAACAGGCAGCATGCTCCCACCTAATCCCAACCACAGCTGCGACAGCACCACCAAACAGATGGAAGGAGAGTGGGCTGCATCCCCAATTCAGTCCTGGGCACAGCTGCTGTCCAATTGTAAAAGCTTGGTTAACAGAATTGTTGCTTAACCAGCATTCCCCATCAATGCTGGTTAACAAACCTTTTTCTGTACCTAGCCTCATTCACCAGAAACGAACACCTTTTCCCATTGAGAATTAATTAGGTTTTGGCATGGGATACCTTATAGAAAAGAAAAATTTTGGCCAAGTATGTTAGTTATCACAACTCCATGTTTCGATAGCCATCAATCTATCATTATTCCAAACAGGAAAATATAACTGAACACGTAATTGCAAACTGCAAAGATCCCACACTCATGCTGGATGTATCTGTTTTACTGGCACATGTTTTTAATATTATTTTGTGAGCCAACTTTGGGGGGGTTGTTATAAATATTTTAAATACATACTTACAAACGTATTCACTTTTATTTTTACTTTTAAAACTTAGTATGAATATCAGGGACTTTAAAAGGTATTTATTTATTTATTAGATTTTTAGGTAAGTTGGCACTTTCAAATTAGAGAGTCCTTGTGCTGGATGCATGACTTTTTGACATCCCAGAAATCAAGACTGTTCCACCTGTGAACCCCCAGACAAAAGAAAGTTGGCACATGCCCCATGACCTTTCATCCTCTGATGTTCTGGGACAGGATAGTCTTACCCAGCCATGCTACAGTTCTATGGTACCTCTCCCGTACCCAGTTAAGACTTACGGAAATGGGGATTTTTGCCTCAGGAATGAGAGTAACAGTATGTAGCCGGCCTAGGCAGTTACAATCCAGTCAGATGGCCTTCTTTCTTATCGATCTAAGCTTCCTGTGAGTTTTTGGAAATTTTTTACTCCAAATGTTAAGGTTTTCTTGTAGTTCACTTTTTATCATTCATGTTTAAAGAGTGCTTCTACTGTCCCAGGCTCGATACAGGAAATTCTGGAAAACCCCTTCCCTTGGCATCTCGAATATGACCCTACCTGTGATGAAGTGGAGGTACTTCCTAGACGTCAAATCTACCCCAACCCCACACCTCTACAGAAGCATAACAACACATCGAACACAGAAACTCTCATGAAGAAACCGCACATTTGGAACAGGCCAATTTCAGCTTACCACAGCAATACCTAAAAGCAAACAGTAAGAACTAAAACATGCCTCTGGGAGGGGGGGGGGGGGTTGCTTTAACTCCCTGACCAGAATTTAGCTTTTGTTGTTCCACATACACATCACAAACTAGCCAAGGTTTATACTGCAGGAAAACATGTCAGTCACATTTTCCCATTAGTACCATCTTAATCGCAAGCTTCTAGAAGTCTGCATCCAAGAGTACCCGAGGGAATTTTGCCTTCTGTGACTATCTTAAATAGCACCTGTTAACATTTCTGTCCCTCATTACTTTCCCCACTCTTGTGGAAGAGGCACTGTAGTCAAGCTAACACGGCATCTATGCCACCAACACGAATGATGCTTCGGGGGGGGAGGGGCGGAGACACACAGAAAGAGACCAAATATGAGTAGCTGACTGAGTAGTGTCCAGTATCTTACTTGGGAGTTCTACTTAGCCAAGATTTTAGGAAGGAAACCTACACCAATGCTTTTGAAATACAGTATAGGGAAGCAGTTCTCGTTTTCATAAACTTTGCAACACAATACAACCAAATCCCACAGCAAAAGCCTTATTAAATGTGTATCCAAAAGTACTTCAGGTCAGAGCTGAATTGTGCCAGACATTATACAAGTATATTTTAGCACAGAAGAGTCTGCAACTAGGATTCTTATAATTCAATAAAATAATTCAGCAGGCAAGAGACACAAAACATGTAGTCACAACCCATGCCTTGAAGGGAAGACCTTCTAGCTAGCTACAATGCCTGATTTTTTCCCTAGCTCTAATCCCATTCACTGGTCTGCACTGCTGGACTCTTGCCAATCTCAAGATGCAAGCTCAACTGTATCTCTGGCATGCCAAATGTCTTCTGATCACATCTAGTAACATAGGAAGTGGGTACTAAAATCAACCACACAAATCAAACCGTGTTAATTCTGCATTTAGTGGAATGTGATGGTAGCAGCAATACAAACTTGGATTATATTTCACAAGAAAATAGGTTTTAACCTCTGTACCTTGGATAAATATTAGTTTTTGGGTTTTCACCTGTAAATATAAATTCTGGTGCTTGAAATAGATTCTTTTCCCCTCTTGGAATATATTATTAAAAAGTGCCATATCCCATTCTACAGCTTACGGTTCTACTCTGCTGGCAAGCAGTTTTCAAAGCATCTCTTTTATAAAATGTTTAGAAACCAATGAGAAGTTATTTTGAGCTTAGAGTGTCTTACTCTTACCTGCATCAATGGCACACGGATAATGGTATCGGAAGGAGCAACCTTTGTTGTAGCAGCCTAAAGTGGCTCCTGCCTCCTGGCAATGAGAACATTTCTGTAACAAATAGAAAAATAAAACATTAGTATACATACAAAGCTTCGATTGTTCCTCTATTTCCCTCACAATAATGGAGAGCATTTCTGTCAGTGGAATCGGACTTCCATACATCCCTCTCCAGCCTGAAATGCTGCTCAATGGAGGACAGGGGATCCACAGGAAAAGTATGAAGGGTGAATGAGGATCGAAAATGGGAGGGAGGAAATTGTAAAAATCACCTTTTATTAGCAGACATTTTTCCTGGGAACCAGACCATTTGGGTTTTCATGTTACAAAGCAAAACTTCTAGATATCATACCCCAAAGCTTGGTTTTTCCTTCCTTAAACACAAAGCTTCAGTTGTTTAGAATTCTAGTTCAAATTATTGCCATTAAACTATCAGTTTCTCTTTACATGCAGAAAATTGTTTTACAGTGTCATCTACTGTTAATTACTCTCAGCATGCCACAGTCAAGGACACATCTGCCCCATCAATCTCCAATTTTGACATATTTATTTCCTTCACTATGTCTCCCCCCAGAATTAATCCCAAACAAATGGTAAAAACAGGTTGCTTGCCTGTAACTGATGATCTTCGAGTGGTCACCTGTGCAGTCACACACTTGGGTTTTGGCCTGCCCATGAACCCGATCTCGGAGATCTGGAAGAGCAATTTTTGGCAGGCTTTTCTCCTCCGCTCAGTTTCTTCCAGCCGCTGCTAGCAAGGCCATGCAAATAGAGAGAGAAGGAAAGCCAGCAGCGGGGAAGGTTGGGCGGGTGTGTGTGACTGCACAAGTGACCACTCGAAGATCATCAGTTACAGGTAAGCAACCTATTTATCTTCATCACGGTCCCTGAGCAGTCCCACACTTGGGTGATTAAACAGCTAAAACACTACCAGAGGTGGGCGCTGGCAGAAAGACGACAGCAATGGTCAACACCCAAGTATGGGACGGTAAGGCAAATACATGTACCAGAGTATGAGCAGAGAGTTACCCAGAGTCCCATGACAGATCGTTCAGTGGAAGATAGACTTCAGAACCGAGCGGCCAAAAGACGCGTCCCTTCGAGCATGAACATCAAGGGCATAATGCATCATGAAGGTGGATGGAGTCGACCATGTTGCCGCAGAACAAATATCTTCCAAAGGTGGCCATTGATCTAGTAGAATGTGCTCGGACCATATCAGGTAAGGGTTGATGGGCAAGTTCGTAAGAGAGCTTGATTGCTGCAATGACCCACTTTGCCAAATGTTGGGAAGAAATGTTACAGCTCTGAAGTGGGGCTCCGTAGGCTATGAAAAACTGGACATCCTGACGAAACGAGCGTGTCCTGTCTAAGTAAAAGGACAGGGCTCAGCGGACGTCCAGAGTGTGAAGAGCCTGTTGACCAGCATCAGTTGGATTTGCGAAGGTCAGTAATGATTATGGTTGGGAAAGGTGGAAGGTAGAAACCATCTTGGGTAGGAAAGTTGGGTCCGGTCTGAGGACCACTTTTTCTTTATGAAAGATGGTATGTGGTGAATCGGTACGGAACGCACAAATGTCACTGGCCTTCGCACTGTGTTAGGATATCTAGGACTAGTGGGAAGCGTAAAAAGATGCCGCGAGAAAGTCAAAGAAGTGTCGCAAACCAGGGTTGCCGAGGCCACCACGGGGTCACTAGGATACAGTGGGTGCAGTCCATGGCAATCTTTTGAAGAGTCCGGGAGAGCAGACAAAACAGGGGAAACATGAAGAATAGTTTCCCTGTCCATTTGTGTAGGAAAGCATCCCCTTTGGAGCCCTGAGTCGGAGCTCCCCGGCTGAAGAAAATTGGACACTTTGCATTGCAACTGGTCGCAAATGCGTCCACCTTGGGGTGACCGAAGAGGTTGAACACGCTTGCGAGGTAGGTCAAGGTCAGAGACCACTCGTGATCGTTGGAGCGTGTTCTGCTGAGGGCATCGGCCTGGATGTTGGAAGTCCCAGGGACATGTACCGCTGTCAGGTGTATATTGTGGAGGATATACCAAGCCCAGAGGGAGAGGGGATGTTTGCAAAGTTTGATGGAGACCGTGCCCCCCTGCTTGTTGATATAAAAGATCGTACCTGGACGTGGCGATCCCATAGATTGGGTAGAAAGGACTGCAGTGCTAGATGGACTGCTGTGAGTTCGAGGCAGTTGATGTGTAAGGTATTCTCGGAATTGGACCATACGCCTCGTGCCGTTAGGTCGTCGTAGTGGGTCCCCCAACCCCACATTGACGCATCCGTAGTCAGGAGTTTGGTGAGAGGTGGAAGACGAAACGGCATTCCCAGGAAGAGATTGGTGTTGTCGAGCCACCAACACAGAAATGTCAGGACGGCAGGGGGGATGACGAAAGTTACTGTCGGAGGATCCACGTAAGATCGAAAATGGCAGAAAAACCATAATTGGAGAGGACGCATGTGCAGCTGCGCATAGGGAACTAATGACGTTGTGGCCGCCATGTGTCCCAAAAAGTGCTGAAGAGTCACCGGTGTTTGCTTTGGGGAGGAAAGACACTTGTGGACCAGGGATTGAAGCATGGCAGCCCTGTCAGGAGGTAAGAACGTGGGTTGTTTGATGGTATCTATGTCGGCTCCTATAAACGACAGAGACTGGGTTGGTTCGAGGTGAGATTTTGAGAGATTCACCGAGAGACCTAGGGCAGCGAGTAGCCGGAGTGTCTGGTCTTTGCGGGAGGGAGCCACTAGAAGCCAGTCGTCTATGTATGGGAAGATGACAATAGCGTGCTGTCCCAAAGCAGCCGCTACCACTGCCATACATTTGGTAAAAACCCTCGGGGCGGTCGAAGGGGAGGGACCGGTACTGATAGTGGTGTGGCCCGACGGTGAAGCGGAGGTATTGACGGAACGATGGATGGATAGGGAGGTGGAAGTAGGCGTTTTGGAGATCCAGAGATGCTAACCTGTCGCCTTCTTGTAGGAGTGGAAGAATGGACTGCAGAGTAATCATGCGGAATTTTCTGCGGCGGATGTAGCAATTTAGGCCCCTGAGATCCATAATGGGACGCTTTCCTCCCGTCCATTTGGGGACCAGGAGATATCGGGAGTAAAACCCCAATCGATGTTGTGAATGGGGTACGGGTTCTACAGCACCTTTGGCAAGTAGGTCGGAAACGTCGGCCCTCAAAAAATGGTTCAGAGGGGTACAACAGAAGTGACGTACATAAGGCGAGAGAAGAAATTCTATTGCGTATCCCATGCGAATTATGGTGAGGAACCAAGAGTCTGTTGTAACAAGTTGCCAAGCGGGGAGAAAGGGACGAAGTCTGGTGCCCCATCCAGGAGTTACTGTGGATGGCCCGGGGGTGACAGGAAGAATCAAGAGGTCAAAGAGACTGTTTGGTGTTGGTGTCAGATCGTTTAGGCTGTTGATTCTTGCCCTTAGATTGAAAGGAGGATTTGGAGTAGGGTTTCTTCCGTCTCCAGGAGTCATTAGAACGGGGAGATTGTTGACGTCGGGTAGGCCTTGGTGTCCAGGTACGAGGTTTAAATTTCGGTGGAAAGGAGGTTTGGCACGCTTTCTGCTGTTGTCCACCAAGGAGAGATACTGATCAATGGTGGAATGAAATAAACCTTCTCCATCAAATGGTAAATCTTCTATTTTAGCCTTGACATCATCTTGGAGGGAGGCTGTCTGGAGCCATGCGTGGTGGCAAAGCACTATGGAGGTGGCAAAACCTCTGGAGGAGCATGCGACTGCATGACGCACGGTGTTGATTTGCTGACGGGACAACAAGGCCAATTCTTCGACAATGGAAGAGGCTACTTTCTGCGAGGGTTCAGGCAGTTCCGAAAGTAATGGCCTGAATTGGTTTGCTAGATGATAGGAGTAAGCTGAGAAGTAGGCCAGATAGTTGTGAAGTTTGGACACGGTCGTGGTAAGGGAGTAAAATTTTCTAGCTTCCCGGTCAGGCGGTGCCAGGTGTTTGGCTTGTTTGGCCTTAGACACAGAGTGTATGATAAGAGAGTTCAGTGGTGGATGCGAGACAAGAAACTTGGCATCACACGGTTGAATCTTATACAGGGAGTCAAAACACCTATGAGCTCAAGGAATGGTAGCAGGAGTATCCCAAGCCTCTTTCAAAGTTTCTAAGTGAACTGCAAGCATGGGCAGTAAGGCTCCAGAAGGGAGGTCAGCCTGTACTAGCTTGTGGACAAGATCCGTAACTCTAGGTGTTTCATTTGTCAATTGGACCTGTAGTGCTTGGCACAGATGAGTGAGAAGTTGCAGGTATGATTTAGGACCGTCCGATGGCGAGAGGGAACCTGACTGTCCCAAATCCGAATCCGAACGGGTTGGTACGGGGTCTTCACAATCCGAATCCGAGTGCTCGGAGTCATGGTCGGACAAACCCAATGGGGACTCGAGGTGTTTGGAGAGGTCGTCTGGCATGTAGATAGGAGGTTCCAGAGGTTGCATAGGAGCCGAGTCCAAGGGAGGAGGGGCCCCTAAGGCCGCTGATGGGGCCGGTTCGGTAGTGTGAAATGAGCGTTGTGTCATGAGAAGGCCCGTATCTTGAGGGTCATCCTGGTTCCGGTGGCTTCGTCGACTCTCTGAGTAGTGATATGTCATTGCGGATCGAGATTGTGAGCGAGAATGTCGTCTAGAGGCGTAGTAGCACCTTTCATATGTATGAGGTGACGGAGATCTCGAATCCAAGGAGTATCGGTGTCGATGGTAGGGTGTTGGCCGATAGTGGGAGGGAGACCCAGAGTAGTAGCGAGACCTTTGCGAACTACTTCGAGAATGTCAAGGTGAGGCAGTCAGTACAACCGATGAAAACCAGTCCTCACGATCTTGAAAGGTTCGATCCCGAGGCTCCTCGGAGTCAAGGAGATCAGAAGGTGGTTGGCTATAAGCCGATGGCGAACAGGAAGGGATCATCACGACCTGAGTATGATGCACGTCAGCCGGCTGGGCACTGAGCGGTCGAAGCCGAGCCTCTTCGGATTGTAGACCTGACGAATCTGACTGCCCTGCCGGTACCG